CATTCTCCCTTGGATAGGACACCTTTCGGTCCCACCTCCGAGAGACCCAGGGAGGACCAGTGGTGGGTGTGGGATTTCCCCTGGGAGAAGGCCAGTTGCATTCTTAGACACCGTATCTGCAGGGAAATGGTAGATCTCCATGGAGAAAGACGGAGTGAATGGGCCCCACTGCCCCTTTGTGCGGGTCCTCCCCGAATGGGCTGTTGCACGAGGCTGCCCCGGAAGCCGCCTGCAGAAGGGAGGAGTGTGTCCCAGCGCTCAGTGCTTCTGGTGAGGTTGGGAAGACGCGTCGTGGGGCCCCTGATGCAGAGACGTGTGTGTGAGTGTAGTGTCCAGAGGGAGGTGCTGGGACCATTCGTGCCCGAGACCTACCTTGGCGGGACAGCCCCAGCCTGGACACTGACTCCGTAACAGGGATTGGAAAAGACACACTTGTGTCTTTGGGGCACAGTCTAGCCCTTCCTAGTTAGCGATGGGATTTGTTTTCTGGGGGAATTGATGTGTATTTGCAAGGAAAGAACACCTCTTTCGATTGTAGGTGTTGAAGAGTTTTCCCATGAATGGACGTGCATGACGTGACCGTGATGGGAAACTTCCCTGAGAACGTGGACACCATTAATCGCCATTTTGAGGGGACCGGACACGTTGGAGAACATAGCATTCACCCACCTGACACACACGCACCAACCCTGAGAATCACGGCGCGTGGATTCCCATGGAAACACACCTCGTGCCCAGCCCCCAGTCCTACAGCACCTAAGAGCAGCACGGTAGCTTCCGGGGCCAGGGTCACGAGGCCTCGGGTCTCGGTCCGGAGCGTGACCCTTAGTCTCGTTGCAACAGGTTCTGGATTCTGGGTGGCTCTCAAGATGGAGCCTGCAAGGAAGCCCCACCTTGCCCATTGTCCAGGTTGCTCCAAGCCAATGAGTGACTCTAGAGGACAGCATACTTACCACTCTCCCTTCCCAGCAGGGCCACCTGCGATTTCTGAAAAGAAAACATGGTGAACATCAAGTCCTGCCTCGTCCTGTGTGCACAGCTCTTTTGTTCTCTTGGTGAGGGGCATGGGCAGTGATACGGAATCCACCTAGAGGTTGCATGGCCTGGGTCCATTGGGTGGCGAGGCGGTGTCAGTAGCACCCGTGAACAAGCTCACGACCCTGTGGACTGTAACCGAACCCTGCTGCTGTTTCCTGCAGGGTCTTTGGAATGGGGTCTCCGTGGCTAAGAGACGCTCCCTCAATAATCTCCCCACCAAGGACATGGTCCGTGCTGAGGTGTTCGGATCTGATTGGGAGTATAAGAGAAACAAGGGATGCTGTACCTCACCTGAAGAAAGGCTAACTTACCACCTTGGTGAAAAATGGGGCCTCTCCCGCTGTGCTGTCCACGTCAAGGCCATCGTACAGGCTAGCCAGGGGATCTAGGTGGATACACACAGAGAGTGTCGGGACCCCGACGGGACTCTTCGGGAACCGCTCAGGGAGCTTTGCTTGGCGTGCACGTGCGGACAAGTGTGTGGAGGTGGGGAGCTCATCAGTATGGACTGAGCTGTAGTGGGCCCTTCCCGGGTGGAGGATGAAAGGTCCTGGAGAGGAGCAGGGACGTGAATAGAAACGCTGCCTCCCGTTGGAGCTACAGGGCCTGGAGTAGCTGTGAAATAAATAGTCCATCTCCAAGGCACACCTACTGCCTGCCCCCAAACCTGCACCACCTAAGAGCAGCGCCGTAGTTTCTGGGGACAGGGCCATGAGGCCACGGGTCTTTCCCCAGAAACTCCCTTTCTGTTACTCCGACCCTTTCTTCTCCGTCCCGCCGGACCTGGAATCGGGGTGGTTCTCATCGTGGAGCCTGCGAGGAGGCCCCACCTCTCCCCTTTTCCAGGTTGTTGCAAACAAGTGAGTGACGCTGGAGGACAGAATACTTACCGCCGTCCCCTTCCCGCAGGGACACCTGTGATTTCAGAAGAGAAAACAGTATGAACATCCAACCAGGCTTTGTCCTGTTTGCATGGCTCTTTTGTTCCCTGGGGCCTGGGAGGAAGCCAGGTGGGGAAGTGTGCTAGAGGCCCGTGAGCCCCAAAGTAGGAAGAGAGCAAAAGGAGTCCTCCACGGATGGCGCCCAGTCGTCCTAGAGGCCCCACGTTCCGGGTCCCACCGGACAAAATAGGTGGCAAGGAGGAATAGCTGCTACCCGTACCCAAGCTCCCTGCCCTCCAGATGGTAGGTGATCCTGCTGTGGCTGTCCCCGCCCCCCTGCAATGCCTTCGGGATTAGGTAGCACTTGGTACAGATTCTCACTCAAACTTCTCCCTACCCTGTCAATTGTGCATGCTGAGATTTTTTTTTTTTTTTTTTTACGTGACCTTGATGAAAAAAAGCCAGAAGACTTCTGTGTCTCCCACAAAGAAAGGCCAACGTACCACCCTGGTGAAAAATGGGGCGTCTTCCTCTGTCGTTCCTGTCGAACGTTCACCCGTCTGTCCATGCAGCCAAGCTAGGGAGAGATCCACAGAACGGTCAGTCCACTGGTGGGGCTCGGCAGGAAGAGCTCAGGGAGTTCAGCTTGGGGTGGGCGTGCCCGGGAGTGTATGGCGACGTTGGGTTCCGTGGGTACGGACTGAGCAAGGTGCCACTGCATCAAGAGAGGTCAGGGCCAGGAGCAGGAACGGAGAGAGAAACGTTGACTGTGACCTTGAGCTACAGGGAATGGAATCAGGGTGACCTCTTCAACCCGAAAGAGGGTAAACACTAAGATACACGCTCCGTTGTACTGACAGGCGAGTTCCTCCAACCAGCGACTGGGTCGTGGTCATTGTCAAGACCGTTTCTTGGCCGCTCCCACCTCTCTCTCCCCCCTCTTCTAGGAGATTGTCTTTCTGCAGAAGAACACTGTGTGGCAGGGTTG